AATACTAATCAGTTTTGCATACATAAATATTTCCTGAGCTGACTTTTCAATTTTTCACTCATATTTATGTTTGTGCTGCATTAAGCTCTAGGGAACATACAGTTTAACAAGATGATGGGCAAACAAGCAGACAGTGCAACAACATGAGCTCCCATGCTAAAAATAACATATATTGAGTGTTTAACAGCATTTTACCAACATTACATATTTTTCAACAGATCCAGAGAAAACAGCGTTGACTATTATAGACTTGAGTGAATTTGATGAAGGGTTATATACATGTATGGCCAGTAATGATGCTGGACAAGTTGAGGCTGTGGCTAAGTTGTCAATTCATTTGCTACCAGTCGTAGGTGAAACAGAAGATTTGACAGTAGAAGAAGGTGGTGATATAATGTTTACATGTACCGCTGTCAAAGGAAGCCCAGTACCGGCACTCAAATGGAGACGCAATAATGTTGACCTATATTTTGGAGCTACAGTATGTATACTATAAATATTCATAATTAAAAATAAATCATCACTGCCACCAACCTTAGTTTTTTGTCACTACAACAAAAGAGAAAGCTTATGTTAGAAATATTCAAATCAGGCTCTCCCAATCTTTCCAATAGTCGAGGTGCATCAATTCACTATTCTGAAGTGCTATATGGCCAATATGTTAGAATAATAATTTCACTTTCCCTACCATTGCAGTGTAATAAACATTTTAATTAGGGGCTATACACAACAGGTGAAGGTAGGTAGTAGATATAAGACCTCTCTGGGTAAAATTAGCATAATTGGCAGGTGATAATAACCATGGATAAGCGATTAAATTAGATATTTTAGCCAGTTTATTCATTTCCACGGCGGAATCACAGTTCTTTTAGTGCCAGATATAAGATGTTGCCTCAGCCAATCAGATTGCTAGATTCAGACTTACCATGTTTTAATGTACACTCAATTATGCATTATGCGAGTTAGTACATTTTAGCACCCAAGTAAACTTAATTTTGTCATCTTTCCCAAAATTAAACCAAAAGATTTTTTTTTTTTTTTTATTTCTAAACGTTTGATCATGATCTGTAGCCAATGTAAATTTTTTTGTCTATTTGTAAATTTTCAAAAAGTGGCAGGAAATAATATTGCGTTCAAAGAATCGTTCAAGACCTACAGATAATAGGAATTACATCTGTCTGGTACAAAATTAAAGAAAGAAAAGATAGAAAATTACATAATAATATTAAAAATGTAGTCCCAAAAGTAAAATGCTGCCTTTCAAAGTGTCCTTGAGCAAGATGATATACATAGTAAATACTCCTGGGATACATATATATCCTTACAAATAATAAGCTGATGTTTTTAAGATCAAAGAGTAATCTATTCCTAAAATTTGTTTGAAAAAAAGCAATTTAATGGTTGGGAGATTTAATGAGATTAAAGAGGATTTTGTTTTAACCATGTAACTGTACATAATCAGTTACCCAGTGCTGTAATTGACTGTAATGTACAAATATTAAATTTAATCATATTTATGATGGCTGAGTGGGACTAAGGACATCACTTATTTAAGGTGGATGGAGGAAAATAAATGCCTAATAATACCTGATAATAGTTAGTGCATTTATCCAGCAAAACAACTTATTTCAGGGGATGAAATGCTTGAATTTTAAACATTCGATTATTCAAAATATGATACACTAATACACTATACACTAAACTATTCAGCCTTAGAGTGAGATTTTTATGTGTAACATACGGTAGTACAAATAAAATGATGACCTCACACATCTATGTTGGTAACTCAGCTGGCCAAACTCTCTAATATTGCAAGATATAATAAGTGTCTATTGACATTTGAGGTACACAATGTATTTAATCTGTGGGTAAAACATCTCTGCTTACCATCTATAGTATCAACTGCAAAACCTACATGTATTTATTATTTCATTGCTTCTAAATCAATATACAGTCCAATATAGTTTTGTACAGTAAAATACCTTATTTCAGCTGGAATTTATTTTTTGAGTGTTTTGTATGGAATTTATTTTCACTGATTTTTGACGAATTGAATGTAAAATATAGGAATAGCAAAATATTTACTGGATTTTATTTTCACTGAATCATTCCTTCAGCGAAAATAGCAAAAATAAATTCCAAGCGAAAAAAAAGTGACATGAAAAATAACATGCTGCCTATTATTAAATGATAACAGAGCTAGAAAATACACAACTAATGGTCAAAGAATGTAACAATAACACATAATATAAAAATCTATATCTCATTAACAAGAAATTGAATTATGTTGTTTTTTTAGTTTCCTACATTAGCCTCAATGACTGCTTGTTTGTATGTGTGTTTTGATCACAAATACATAACACTACGTTTAGATTACACAGAATATAATAAAGCAGAATGGTCAACAATATCCAGATTAAATCCTTTGTCTTCAGTCCATCACTCGACATGATATATGTTTACCCACAACTAGATTTTGGGAATAAACTGAAATTACCATCACACACAGTAAATTTAGACTAACGATTACAAAAGTACACAATATACTGTTTCATAATCTTTCTTGCTAGCTTAATAACTAGTCTCCCTCTGGAATGAATCTATCGATGAAAAATAATATTATAATTTGCACCTATGTTTACTTTCATTGCAATAACACACCTGTTATTTATGGTATAGCTAGAGGACCCTAGAATGGAAATCTATAAAGATGGGGAGTCACTGATACTTTACATCAAGGATATCAAAAGTACAGATAATGGAGCATATACATGCATTGCTGAAAACTTTGCTGGTACTGATGCCAAAAATTTCCACCTTTTTGTTGAACGTAAGTTCTTTATAAACAACTTTATCACCTTATGACTAATCCTGTGTATATAAGTGCGCTCTTCTTGCCAATTCAATATCTGCCATTTTGTTTTTAGTGTCAATTGCCTTAGGGGTCAATCATTTGAAATCAGGGGCTGACCATTTTTTTTGTTTTATTTCTTATTTTAGATGCTCCACATTTTGACAGTGAGCTTACACAGACAGTAGTCAAGTCATGGGAGGAAAATCCAACTGAACTCAGCTGTGTTGCTATTGGTAACCCAACACCCATGATGTCATGGCAACATAATGGAATGAATTTAGATAATACCACACTAGTTGACCTTGGTCTTGGAAGAGTGCAAAGTTTACTTTCAGTAAGTCAAATAATGTTAAGGGGAACCATGTTATTTTAGCATGGGAGTACTCTCATAGAAAATGTTTTATGTTCAGAGTTATCAGTTGAAGTGCCCTCATAGGCTATTTTGGAAAATCTTTTGTTTTTATTGTTTATGGGTTGTTCTTGAATAATATTATTAAAAAGAATCTTGAAGTAAAAATTAGGAAAATAAAGTAAAAACTGGCCTAGAGTGATTTCAACAATGAACTTGTATTTGGCACCATAGCTTCAGTGCTCCAATATGATTTTGTCATTTCTTACAATAAGAGTGCTGTTCAATAGTAAAAAAAAAAATAGAAATGCGACTTTACATCATTTCTTATCTCTGTAAATCCCCTCTCACATGTTGAATTCAAACTGCAAGATTATGCAGTCCTACATATATTTCAGAATATAATATAATATTTCAGAATATAATATATTTTTTTTTGGTATTACAGTATTAGTTTTTTCATTTAACTGGAAAATTGAGTTATTTATAAATATGATGTGACAGGTTGCAAAATATGACAACTAAAAAAGCTAGTTTTAATAATCCAGCATAAAAACGTGTATTGGTTGGTTTATTTGCCACTATTGGAGATACACTTCTAACAGAGCAAATACTGCAATTTCCTCATTATTGGATACCTTTACTTTTGGAATAGGAACATCCAGTGAAATGTGAATTGATAGTAGACACTTGTACAGGCATCGTTGTTATGCAAAGAATGCTCACTTGCAACACTTGCTTGATTTTGGTAACCGATAATGTGATTGTTTTTGAAACTAAAATTCATGTTTATCATTTAAGAGGAATGTAATAAAAATATCACAGCTTCATTATGGACCTTTGTGTGCTTGTGCAAGAACAGCATTTTGTCTACCTGATATCGGTGAACTGATGACCCTAGTGTTCGATCACAAATGCTGCTTTCCATCAGTAATTTGTAGTATTGTATTGGGGGGAGGGGGTGTTTTCCATTCACATCATTTGGTAAATATTTAATTGCACACATTCTAATTAGGAACAAGCAGCCTGTCGGCTGAGATAGCTCCGCTGTTAGCAATGCACATTACAATTAAAGAACAGAAGATATCATTAGAAAATGAACAATATGTATAGTATCAAAGCAAACAGACTTGCGGTTTTCAACAAGAAGTCGTAAATATCATTTTTTACAAAATTACAAAAATATTCATCAAAATTAGAGAATTGAAGATATCATCATGAAATGAACAAATCTGAGTTAGAACCACATGTAGTACCTATATATGTAATATCAAAGCAATTGGACCTGCGGTTTTCAACAAGAAGTCGTAAATATCACTTTTTACCAAAAATTACTAAAATATTAATCAAAATTAGAAAATTGAAGATATCATCACGAAATGAACAAATCTAAAAGAGGTCCACATGTAGTACCTATATATGTAATACCAAAGCAATCGGACTTGAGGTTTTTTACAAGAAGTCGAAAATATCACATGAATATCACATGACATGAAATGAACAAATCTGAGAAAGAACCATCCAAGGTACTTGGATGTCCAATTTGAAAACATTCTGACTTGCGGTTTCAAAGTAGAAGTTGAAATTGTAAAGTTGATGCCGCCGACGCCGCTGCCGCCGACGGACAATCAGTAATATGAACAGCTCCTCTGTGTCGACTTTGTCATATGATTACAGTAGTATCCACTGATATCTTGTTCAAGCACTGGTAGACATGACAAGATGTTATTTTCTTCTCAGGTACTCCCCAGTAAAGATGATTTTGGTGATTATATGTGCTATGCTGACAACTCACATGGCTCAGTTAATGTAACTATCACATTGGAAGAAACTTGTAAGTGTGACCATAAGTTTACAATTCACTTGTCTGAAATGTTTCCTATATATTTACTATACTCTGTTAATGCAAGTAAGTTACTTTTCAGTTGTCCAAATGACTTTTCAGTTGACCTAGACTATAGGACTCCCTTAAGTGTTTAGTCTTATGACTGTATATATCACTTCAAATTCTTGAAGTTAGTTGAATGTGATACCATTAAGTCATTGGATGGTGAACCTTGAGTGATATTATTCAAGTAACCAAAACACAAATTTGACAGTTTGCAGTCAACTAATATTTCATCTGAAGAAAGTAACTTTTAGTAGAGGTTTGAGAATCTGTTTTCTGACCTTAATTCAACTACATTGATTGTGTTAAAAGTTGTTACACAAGTGCAGTTCTTCAAACATGCATGTTTGTTTTTTTCTGCAATCTGTCTCCCATTTCTGTCCTGCAAAATCCATATATGAATATGACTTATTTAAATATGCGGTGATAATCAGAAGTGGTATGCTACTGATTTAAAGTGATACTGTTGGGCCGTAACACGTTTGAATTTCAAGTAAACAAACTATTTTTCTACATGCGTTGTATACGTAACTATAAGTTCTATATCAAACATGGCTATAACAGAAATACATTCACTTGAAGATATTGAGATATTAAAAGTGCTGCTTTATAAATTTAAGTAATGTTTTTTTCACCACAGATGCTCCTTTACCGCCTTCTAAAATAATAATTGATTTCACAACACCTACGAGTGTAGGTTTTAGTATAAAAGATCCAGAGATGGACGGTGGATGGCCAATAGAATCGTGCCAAGCAATTCTCAGTAACAGTCGAGGTGAAGTAGTGAAAGAATTCGAGACAGGTAAGTCTGAGTTATTAATGTCAAATATTTAATGTATTTATTACATTCAGCTGAATAATTAAATCTTATGGTAATTCAATTACTTGTGACAATACCTCAAATGGTCACTGTACTACATTGGTGTACATGCATCTAATAGTGTGATTTCTGTATTCATTTTCATGGGTGCCCCCACCCCCACAATTGGGCAACCTATTTTCATATGCCAACATTTCTAAAAATAATTTATTGAAATTGTGGTATAAAGGAAATTGTTTTTTTTCCTATATTTCACATTCAACTCATCAAAAATAAACTTCATACAAAACAGCTAAATTATTTCCTGCTAACATCAAGTATTTTACAGTAAGTTCAAACACTACTCAGTAATGTATTGGCAAACAGGAAAATGATTTCACATTTTTGTGTTGTTTATTTGTATGGCATTACAAAACTGAACTGAGATAAATTGTCTGACATAA